GTATAGATTTAAATATTTTGTTGCTAAGAATTATCAGTTTTACTTTTACTTATTAACAAATAGTCGAATGACTATTGAATAGTAAAACAGTTTAGCTTTACAGATCAAACAGATTTGATTTATTTGATGAGCAAATTTAGTGTGTAATTCAGTAATTTTGGTGGTTATTTCAAATATTTGAATAGAAAAAATTGCATTACAGTTGTAGGATTAAATATTACCCTTTTTTAATTATGCCTAATAAATACATTAAATCAATAAAATAAATATGACACACAGCATATACTCTTCGCTTCGTTTATTGTCACACTTTTGTTTATTGTTTAGTTTAGAGTCTATGATCAAATTGAGAATAGATTATTATTATATTGTTTGTCTATAATACATAATTGTCTTTAATGTAGTCTTAGCGAAATCTGTGAATATACGAAGTACCTAAATAGTCTTTGACCATAGAACTTAATGTTCAAACTTTTCATTTCAATTAGGTACCTACCTAATTACACCGGTTAACCACTAGTATGATATTAATTTCTAATTACACATTTACGAACTACTATAGATTAATTATAAAAACAATTGAATATAAATAATGACAGTGATGCCTTACTACACAATTTCAACACGTTTTAGGTGATTACGTACTGTCTGTGAACGATACATTGAATATGTTTCAGTGATATATTTCGCAAACTACTAAAACTAAAAAATAAAAACAAACATAAAAAATAAGTTTTATTTTAGTATTCATAAATGCGTTACATATTAAAAATAAAGCAAAATTTATTACGTCAGGTCACAGTTTTAATTGTATATAGGTAGTATATTAATAAGTATAAAAGCGAATACGTAGTTCACAGTAATAGCGAAAATGTTTCAAAAATAATTCGAAAATTCAGATACTATCTTTAGAATCTGCCATTTATAATTAAAAAATAAAAACCGCTACTCTGTGTTAAATTAAGCCAACTCAAGATTTGCATCACTAACAAACATCCAATTATCTTAAGACATTTCATGTTCCGTTCATGGCTTTCACTAAAACTGAGAAAAATAATGTGGCAACAGGCAAAAACGTGTTTATCCCCGGAAAGAAAAAACTTTAAATTACTTTTTTAATTCTTCTTAAATTTTCCACAATTGAGCTTGAGCCGGTTTCATCTGTATGCGTGAAATGCTGACAGTTCTAAATACTCGGATTGGGCACAACCCATCCAGTTGGTAGTGATTTACCGTCTTGACTCAAATACTGATCCCATTGGACTCTAAAAACAATTTTATATTAGAACTAACAACAATGATTCAACTGTTTTGAAAAGAAAACATTTGGTAAGAGATCAATGTAGAACACCATATTTAAGGCCTGAATTCATGTACTATTTCATAAAGTTTTGCTATTAGTTTGAGATGACAAAAATGATAGTTCAGGATTTTTGTGAAAACAAATTTCACTGCATGCACCAACAGGTCAGCTATCCCACCTTCACCCTGTGATTAGTACAAATATTACGAAACATGCTACCTACAAAAGAGCTAGCATGTTCCAAGACAGGTTACCAAAATGAATAAATCACATAGTGTAGGAAAAAACCTTCCTTTTTTTATGTTTGAGAGATTACTGGTGGCCCAAAAGTCTATCCAATTTTACCAGGGCAGGGGGACGAGCAAGGGCTCAGCCAGGAGGGGTGGAATTTGCTAACAGCTGCCCGAGCGCCTCCAAAGTAACCTTCCAATACCTAGAACCTAGTATCAGTCCTGTCTTGGTAAGGGAGATTGGCCCATGGATTAACAACACAATATTGCAGATATTATGTTAATATGGGCTCCACTATGAAGGGTAAGACTCAAATTAGGTAGTAGCATTCATAAAATCATGTGTATAATCTCTCATAAACATATATCAGATGGACCACAACCTTATCAGCCCATATTACCTAATATGGACATTCATAAACGTCAACAATGAACACATAACAAACATGCATAAGACTTTCGTGTAGTATTACCTGGTTTTTATAAATTTATAAATATTTCCATTGAAATCCACTTGTGGGGGTTGTCCCCCAAAGAGCAAATGTTGCCATTGTAACAAATTCTGTTCAATTTTATTTGTGGCCTCCTCTAAAGGTAAAATGAATTTTTTAGTTTCTTTATTCAGTTTCTCACGCAGTTCCGCTTCTTCTGTTTCGTATTTAGATAGTTTATTTGACCATAGAGATTTGAGTGACTCTGAAATTATTTATTTATGGACTTACTTAAAGTTGCTATTAAAGTTTTTGCGCTCATCTTTCATTGACTCAGCGTCCTAGATTTTTATGAAATTATATTATTTAAATACAACATAAAATCCTCTTCTTCTATTCACCCCACAGTTGTCCACTGCTCGACATAGGCCTCCTCCAAGCCTCACCACAAAGATCGGTCCTGAGCTGCCTGCATTCTCTAGAGCATTTTATAGTGCTGGTGGTAGAAGATGTCAATGTAAACTCACCCTACTGGTTTTATCTCAATTATTCCAGCTATGAAGAAATGCATTACAAATACAAAGGACGGTACAGCAGTTCGAAGTTCTTATGTCCTTCCACAAAGAGCTAATAATGCTAACAATATAATAGGCAAACTTACCAATCTGAGAACTAAAATGTAGCATTTCATTACAAGATACAATCCTTCCTCTTCCTTTAGCAGTGTTCTGCCTTGCTACACGAAGTTTCACCAATGTATCCAACTTGGTCAAGCATTTTTTGGCATCCTGCTTTTTACGGAGAACATCCCTGAGCACCACATCTGCCTGGAGTTTTGCCTCTTCCTCCTGTAGGTAGGTATGAGAAAATGATTATTCTGAAAGTCTGGAGCAACTTGAATACATACTTTTCAAATAAAACTCGCGTTAGTAGTGTTATTACTATATATAATTATCATATTTTAATTGAAGATCTGATAATTCATACAAAGTAATTACAATTATTTTACCTCCGGAGCAAATAAGCTTAGGGCCTACCTGATCATATGCTGTTACCGTTGCTTATGTACGTCAGAACCGCAACCACACTGCTGCCTAGAACTAGGGATTGTTTTTAAACCTTGTTCGAAGGATGACGTAGTGCTCGGGGAAAATCTGGTATGTTCCATTCCAAATTCAAATTAATCTCTTGAAATGATTTTTAATATCGCCCCAGGTACTAGAGCTGATCCAGGGCTCATTATCAATAGTAAAGGATAAAACTTTCATTGAACCCCATTGAAAAATGTTATATTCCTGTGAGTCCACAAGCCCATGGGTTCCAACAGATGACTATCAACAATCCAAAACATCTTCTGTATGAATGTAAAAAAAAGTATAGCAGCCCTTAGAAGTTCCAATGCAGAAATGGCAGCCACACTTCTCGTTGTACCTGTGCTTTGAACTGATTTATTACCTTTTAAAAAGAAATTTTAAGTACATATCTAAAGAAAAAACCATATTTACCAAAAGTTTGCCAACAATGTAAATTACAAGTAAGTCTGAATAAATATTAAGCTGACAAAAACCATACTATTACATATTTTCTGCAGTGAAATGGATTAAAAAAATTAATTAGTAATATAAGTTTAGCAATTAAATTGGTGACTTGACAGCTTTTATTTTTCAAAATTACTGCACAAACTATACAAAGCTTGTGAGTGCACTTCACAATTTATGATGTCATTTTGGACCAAAATTAGATAACTGGTTCATATTAATACACAACCATTGACATCATAATAATATATTAAAACTAGTGTTAAAGTATTAGTATTGATATCATCAGATTAGAAAACCCAACATTTCTTTAATTTATAATACTGACGAATGAATGAGGATGCATCAAATTTTCTATTAAAATAGAATCATATTTACCTACTTTTTATATTATTATTTTTTATTGGTACTATTGGATATTGTGATAGGAAATGAATCCTATATATAGTTGATATAGGATTCATTTCAATGTATCAATTATTTTAGATGTCTTGTTTGTGACTAAAATGTGAGTTAAGTGCATTTCATTGATTTTATTGTCATAGTTATGAGAAAACATAACACTTAAAATGAACTCAGCAAGATAGTGTTTAAAATGCTTCAATTTCAGTTATAAGGTTTTAACTGAACAAAAATTTTTTTTTACCAACAATAAATCATGTGAAATTTTACAAGACTCAAATTATGGTCTTAGGAGAGTGATCAAACATACATTTATTAATTAATTTAGTTACCTGTTTAACTCTGTCTATTTCATCTTTAATTTTCTGCAAATTCTCATCAATCTTTCTTGATCTTTCCTGCCTGTCTTTTTCTATCTGTAATATCTCTGCTTTCATCTCCAGCTTTGTTCTTCTTATTCGTAATCTTTTACCCTTCCTTTTAAGTTGGGATTTTCTTAGAGCATCAATATCACAAGAAATTATATCTTCCATAAGCCTCTCGATGGTGTCTATGTCATTATGGGTATCTGCTATCAGGAAATTCCAATGATGCTCCTCAGGATCGTTTAATATTAGATTATTTAAATTCATGCGCTTTATAGTTAGATTATCTAAAGCCAAGTAGCATGATACAATTTTTGTAATCACTTGATTAACCGTGGGGAGAGGGGTTTTCTTTTTTGTTTCACTGGTTATTTTTTTCTCAAACTCTTTTATTATTTCTTCATCAGTTGTTTTTATCGGCTCTTCTGGTGGCGGCGGTGGTGGAGGTGGTGGTGGTGGAGGTGGAGGTAATAGCATTGGTGTTAGTGAGGGTGTGGCCGTGAAGTATGCTGGTGACTGAGGTGGCATATAACTTGGAGCTCGAATTTGATCTCGTGGCCGTCGATGTAGTCCTTGCTGTGGCGAAACTTGTGCTTGTTGTATTCTTGGTGACATTTGTTTTGATGACGACTTTTGTGTTGAGGTTGGCGGTGGTGGAGGGACATTAAGGAATGCATATTTGTTTTTTAAATAATAATAATTTGAATTATACATGATTTAGTTTTAAATGTAAATTACTATTAATTTATAAAAAGGAGATAATTATGACTCGATGGCTGGAAGCTGGGGTTCAGCGTCCTTGAGAACCTGTTCAGCGGTAATGTATTCCTCGTGTTCTTTGAGGTCCTGTTCTGTTTCTAAAGTAGTTTTGAGATCTGTATATGCTTTGATTAATCTGTAATGCAATTTATAGAAAACCTTAAAATATATATTACAAACTACTTAGTAGATTGATATTGCTATAATAACATTATTGTTAAAGGTATCAATTCGCGATGCAGAGCAAAGGCTAATGTAACGGAAAAGTAAATACTTTGCATTGAAATAAAAACAAAATTAACCTAAACTTAAAAATCTCCAAAAAACATAGTTGACGGTGTTTATTGTTAAAATATAAATTGGTAATAAAATTTCAATCTACGATTTATATAGTACTTACACATGTTTGTACCAATTTCGACATGTGTTAACTATTTGGGAACTTTATAGTTTGAATAAAGAAAATTTGCATTAATTCGTGATTTTTCAACTATTTCTACGGTATAATATTATTAAAATGGCGCAACTGACCTCCTTTGACAGTCTGGGACCATCATCAGGGACTCCTGAAGAACCTCTTCTTGCTTCCGAATGTTGTGCTCGTCTTGCCCTTCGTCTTTTATTCTTTGAATTCTATTCTTCTGTAGCTCTGCTTCCTTCTCGTAGACTACTTTTTCCTTGGCAATCCGTTTCACGACGCCCGTCTTGATTTTAATTTGACGAATTCTAGGATCTGCCATTTCTTGCTGAATAATCGATCTTGTTTTTTTTTTCAATGCAATTTTCAATCAATAAATGCACTTCTTGACAGCATCTGTTTACGACCAAAGAGCTAAAAGAACGTGCCTGCTGTGTAAACTTTATAGAGCGTTTATCTGTATTCTCTGTAGTCTGTGGAAAGTAAGGCAAATGTAGGTGTATCTTAGTAGAATCTATTCAACAGGGCACCCGTGATGCCATATTTAGAACTTGAATTTAGTATTAAAGATTTAATACATTTGACGAAATGTTAGTATTGTCAAGTTGTGGGTCTACGGAGACAGTTCCCGGATGCACATACGCGCTTATCCTTTGCTTAAGAACAGATTCTTCGACACGTAGCCACATAACGGCACAATTGTCATGGATCTACTGGGTCCCACGCCAACAAATCAAATTCCAATTCCATGAACTCAACAAAATGTACATGATCTGCATTAACCCGACTCACTGCCTTTTTCAGGATGCAAAAATGGTACTCTAACCCTATCAACTGATGACTAGAGAGTATTCTTGTTCTGTTTCCAGTATCGATAGCACCCGGGAAAACTATAACTAAATGCCATTGTATAGCTTTTAATTATCAATTTACAACTTAGTCCCAACTCTAGAAATGCCACTCTGACTTCCGTCATGTGTATTAAGATTGGTATTAAGCTATAACTGACCAATGAAGTAGGAAACCTATGGAAATGAAACGTCAACCAAAATTTCGTGCCACTGTGACGTCATCTGGCCACAAAACATGGCGGCTTTAGTGCTGTACAAAAGATTTCAATGTTATCAGGTTTTATCGATAAACGTTCTTGGCTCATTTTATTTTAAATATTGTTGAGTATTATTTATTTGTAGAATTTATACTTTAATGGGAAGTAAGTAGGTATATTGTTATGTGCAAATATGATATGATTTAGATGGGTGAAATCTAAGACAAGTTCGTCCTTCGAATTTGCCAAGTAAACGATATGATGATTTTTAAAAGTTGCTACACTGATTTTATAAAGTTGTCGTTTGTCGCAAAACATAAAGATATGGCGTAGTTCAAAGCCATCAGCCCATTTCTAGCATGCTAAATGTTATCGTATTTTGAGTACGTGTTTTTCTTAGACTATTACAATCTATTTTAATTGTTTTGCTGACTCTAAAGTCCGTAACATACTACCGCAGCGCACCCCAAGGAAGGTGCGCCGCACCATTTGAATCACTTTCGCTTGAGAGTGATTCAAATTTTAAACTTATCAAGGGACCGCGTGAAAAAAAAAACACCTACAGAACATTTATTCATTAATTACAAACGTCATTCCTTGTGACTTCCTCTCTAAAATCACTTAATTATTAAATATTTAACAAATTTACAATAGTGTTTTACTCACTGCGGAATAAAACTATTTTATTTAAATAGTTCCGAAGAGATTTTGTCGGTAGCCTTTTTCCCGAAATATCTAAACAGAATGTCTAAATATGTTTTGATGACATATTTTAAAGTGGTATTTATGATTAGTGTCATGATCAATAGATTCCGACCGAAAAATGGATTTTTCGGATGAGGGCTCCATAATGAATTTAAATACATATAGATAATAGTTTTAGGATATCGACTTTCTTGAGATCCTATAAAATACGTTTTAATTATTATAATCATATTAAATCGATATCAAAGTCAATAAATAATGTACAACCCAAAACAGACGGCCGAACTGACGTGACAATGACATTTGGCGTGCTAAACATGGCGGATTTTCGGCCTCATTAGACGGAGACGGAGATATTTACGTATATTCATGTTTCATTTTATGTACGCACTGAAATACTGTTATATTGTTTTCCTGCGAGTTAAATTGCTGAGTAAGAACGAGATAGATATATGTTTATGTATGTGCCTTCAAAATGGGTGCTATTTATATAAGCAATTGTACGTATAGAACAATATGTCGTGTCCCTACTATATAGGTCTATGTAACTGACGCAGTACATAACGTAGTGTACTCACAATCACACAGCTATTACTTGTAGCTTGTAACTAACATATTAATCTGTGACCGTTACATTTTTTGGCGAGAGCGCGAGGATAGCATTGTGTGAATTGTTTTGTTAATTTAGAGTTTCTTCAGCCTTAAACCTGTAATAGCGGTGGCTTATTAACTGCATAACATATGTGAAATTTCAAAAACGCGTGAAAAGAAAATAAGGCCGCTGGACGTAACTTCTTGGGCTCTCCCAAAAAGTCTACCCATTTTTTTTTAGTAAATAACTACCAATTTATTGAGTCTTTAATTGATCTAATCTCGTTTCACTCAATTTCGTCTAATTTTTCATATTCTAACAGCATTTATGAAGAAAATGTAAGACTCGGCTTGAAGGTCTCGTTACGATGCCTAACATCTTCCATAAAATCATCATTCAAAAAAATACACAACCATTCTGACTACGCAATGAAGCCTTCTTCAATGGCATTACCATCAGGGATACAAGTAAGGAGTAAGTACCATCCCAGTGTACTGAGAAGTGTCCGTTGGAAGGGGGCCGATTATGGTGGCGCCATAGTACCAAGTGGAAGGATTTTACAAGCAGTGCTTTATACACCACATTTCGCTCCATTTAAAACTACCTCATATCATTTCCAATTCCTACACTAGCGTTATTTTGGTGATTCTTCCAACAATAACTTGCTCTTTACAGGTGGACACTTTTTCAAATTGTCCCTTAAATAAGATGGTGCCCCTTACCTCTACCCTTCATAGGCATTACACAGTTTTTATTTATTTATTTACTGTCGTCCTTAGACATTCAATGAAGTATCAAGGACAGAGTCTTCTAAGGATCATTTAAAACAATCCACAGAACAATAACCATGGAACACACGATGAACAAATTGTGAACGGGACGGCTGGCTGGTGTGAAACAACGAAGTTATTTCGTATAGTGGGCTCAGTGCGAGTGTTTTAACGTTCTCGATAGCGAAAAAGTTAACTCAAACTTGGATGGAGTTAGAACAGCGCTCCTAGCGGCAAACGAAGGGAAGCTGTTCCAGATGTCAAAAAGCACGCACTAAGCACACAGATCATATTCATAAATAGATAGTTTAAGTTTATAAAATAAATATTATAGCAACCCTAACGCCTGCCGCGTCGGCAGCCGCGTCTGATCGCGCGCCGCGACCAATCAGGGACTCTCGTTGTCGGTTCCCGGCGCGATTCAAAGAGTAGCGACCGAGGGGCTTTCCTTTTGGCACAACCACCGAAGCATACACACGAGAATACGTCCGCACCTCGCTCGCTACCATTCCTTTTCGAACTTGTTGTGGGACCCTCTGGAGTATTCATACCCAGTGCTCCAGCTGGACAACACAAAAATATGGTATAATGAAAAATAAAGCATCTATTTTTTTTTATCAATATACTATATGTGTTTGTAATAAACATTTTTACTCTTAAAATATAAAAATTTTAAACTCACATTACAATTATTATTACAATTACAAAAAAACTACTAAATATGTAACTACTTAGGTACTATCCTAAAGCGTGATGACGCATGCGTTGCCACCTCAGAAGTTTGTCTGAGAGCTGGTTCACATCAGATCGGACCGACAGTTTGATGGGAACGACAAAGACGTTGGATGCTTAATATTACATATATTTCAATAGCGTTTATCGGACGTTCAGCCACGAATTCCATCGGGTGCCACGTATTATTGGCATACTGCTTTGAGTCTTGTCGGCTCGGAGCAGCGAAACCATCCAAACATTTTGAATGCTCCAATTCCATTTCGCTCAGCAATGATTGAAAGCCCCAATATTTTGTTTTTCTTTTCTTCCGTTTTCTATTTATATACCACATGGCAACTATAACGTCGTCGTCATCAAGCAAAAGCCAACTCAAAACTTTTAGTAGTCGTCGTGGCCTAACGGATAAGACGTCCGGTGCATTCGTGTTGAAACGACGCACCGGTGCTCGAATCCCGCAGGCGGGTACCAATTTTTCAAATGAAATACGTACTCAGCAAATGTTCACGATTGACTTCCACGGTGAAGGAATAACATCGTGTAATAAAAATGAAACCCGCGAAATTATAATTTGCGTAATTACTGGTGGTAGGACCTCTTGTAAGACCGCGCGGGTGGGTACCACCACCCTGCCTATTTCTGCCGTGAAGCAGTAATGCGTTTCGGTTTGAAGGGTGGGGCAACCGTCGTAACTATACTTGAGACCTTAGAACTTGTATCTCAAGGTGGGTGGCGCATTTACGTTGTGGATGTCTATGGGCTCCAGTAACCACTTAACACCAGGTGGGCTGTGAGCTCGTCCACCCATATAAGCAATAAAAAAAAACTGCTTTATACAGCGGTAAATCGACAGTACAGTAGTGTAGACAACAATATTGTTCACATTTGGTCGGATCGGCAGCTTGAAGTGTAAACAGTAGACCGTCAAGCCGACTACGTTAAAACTGTCGGTCCGACCTTATGTGAACCAGCTCTGTGTGCTTAGTGCGAGTTTTTTAACGTTCTCGATAGCGTAAAAGTTAACTCAAATTTGCAGTTAGAACGTTTGCCTACATTTGCCACTAGGAGCTGCATACAAATTTGAGTTAACTTTTACGCTATCGAGAACGTTAAAAAACTCGCACTAAGCACACTGACCAACCGCTATAGACGTTTCACATCAAAAACACAGAGTTCCCCTTTCGATACATTCTGTCTATACACCCACAACGATCCGTGACATTAGGAATATTTGCAATCCGACCGGGGCTCTTTGCTACATCGAAACAGCTATATAGGAACCCTAAAAAGGAGTACTCTACGTTAGATTAGATTTATATTTTGTAGAGCATAATCTTTTTCCAAGTCTGAATTACCGCTACGCTCTTTTAAGACGTTCAACATTTTAGAAGCCAACTATACTTGACCTTCCATACTGACATCGCTCGAAGCTGTAACTCACTTTTATTGGAAAAAATATTGTTTATGACAGCGGAAAGAATTGAATTATTTATATAAAAACCATTAAATCGTAAATTTTTTTGTCATATTTAGACGACAAGTTTTTTTTCATTCGGTATTTTTACACGTCAATGTATTTTTATACCCTATAGACTCCGAAACGGCTGAACCAGTTTCGATTTTCCGGAAATCTTCAGATTAGCTAGCGGATGATCCTGTGAATTTTGGTAGCGATCGTACCAAATCAATGATCAACCAGCAAACTAAGCCGGGTTTGACTAGACTATCGATATATACCCTCGAAGCACGGCACGAAAAACGGCAAGTAAAGACACGTCTACTAACTAGTACGACCTTATTTACAAAACTCATTTTGATTGACGAACGATAGTTGTTTTTTTTTCCTTCTAAATAATCTTATCTTGACATCAAATACAGGGTATTCGATATTGATACGTATTAAAATGATAATAGATACGTGTGGCATTCAGCCAGGGATATAATAATGTTGCGTTGGCATATAAGATTATATAAGCGTAAGTACAGGATGTTATTTTTTTGTCGAAATTTGCTCGCTAACGCAATATCTATACTAATAGGTATATAAATCTACGGGGGTTTTTAAGGATGTTCCTTTATAAATACTGAACCGTGCATCCGATTGACTTAAAACTTGGTATCCATGTAGAAAATACGTGTACTTAATGGATAGGATAGATGTATATGAGTGTTGGACTCCCTACACCAATTGCGGGGGCGTTAATGATCAGAATCTTTGTGGGGGCGAGAATAATAATGTTAATTTTAAATGCCCAGCGAAGCGGACGGGTACAGCTAGTACATTATAAGAATAGTTGATATTTTTGATGTTTATTATTCCTGTATAGGAGTAGACAAACTGACGGCCAGCCTGATCTGAATTGTCTATCGTCATCCACTTTGAGATATTAATTCGAACACTGAATTATTGAAGTGATGTTCTTATGGGAGGATAAGCCGTCACGTTACATAGCGCGTTACGGCGCCAATTTGTCTGGCTTCTCTTTCTCTCTCGCATATGGCAGCGGTACTGAGAACTTATGTAGCTCCTAACTATTTATATATATTTTTCAATTTATGTTACAATTTACAATATAAAATTTAAGTAATAACCTAAGCTTTTCTCAAGTTAAACAATTTGAATATTAAATAGTTCAATTTAGATTAGTTTAAGTTATCACTTCTGTCGGGCGTCCCAAGATGCAGAGTTTTTTTTTGTCTTTTTTTATTGCCTTATAGGCAAACGAGCATACGGCCCATCTGATGGTGAGTGGTTACCGTCGCTTATGGACGTCAGCAATGCCAGGGGCAGATCCAAGCCGCTGCCTACCATTTGTATGTCTACGACTGTTTCAACCCGGAACACCTGACTATTTCACAGCAGAAATAGGCAGAACGATGGTATCTATCTATGCGGCCTTTTAAATTGTTCTACCATCAGTGTAACAACTTCAACCGAGAAAAGCGCTGGAGAAAACATCTTCAAACGGAAGAGTTTTTAGTTGCCCGTTTGTTAATATTTTAGATTATAAATTTTTGTCAAATATTTTATAGGCTTGACTATATTATACTGTCTCTCGAATTATTAACCACTAATTCTTATCTGGCCATATATTATGCCGTAGAACTGACTATCACTGGAGCAGACGGGTTCTCGAGTGGAGATCGCACAGCGGAAAACGTAATGTGGAACGCCCTCTGGCTGGGTGGTGCGATGACCTCCGAACGATGGCAGCAAGAAGTGGATGAGGAGAGCCGAAGACCGGGCTCAGTGATGTGGATTGGGAGAGGCCTATGTCCAGCAGTGGATGACTGTGGGCGGATGATGATGATGATGAATTCTTATCTTAAAGGTCACCGCTTGTGATGGATTCAAAAATAGGTTCTTTTTCTTGTCTAATCTGATTCTATATTAGCGTGTTGGTAAAGTGATGTTCTAAAATTCGTAGTTGTTACAAAGTTATAGCAGCTAGAAGAAGCGGATGTGTGCGTGTGTGTGGACTATTGTAATTTGTAACCCTTCCGCTTTATACCTGAGACCCTTCTGTATAGAAGTAGTTTTAGTAAAAGTTTGCACTTGTATAAAATCATAAATATGCATAAGTACAAACAAGTATAGGAAGGAATTTTTAAGAAGCAATATTAAGTTTCATGTTTTATACTTTTAACCGTACTTAAAATGTTAAGCGCGTTGTTTTCGTAACCGTCTTCTTTAAACTTTCCTCCATCATGACCCGAGGATGAAGTTCAATCGATTCACTTGAAATTCCTAACCCAGATTCCGCACATATAAACGCGTAAACGGAATTACCTACAGTACGGTAGGTAGCCGTGATGCCATGGCACTCCACCTAACTGGATTTGTGCATTAACATTAAGTTGGGGCGGTTGCAGCCAGAAGAAATTTATTTATTTATTCATTTCAATACAAAGTCAGGCTTACAATTTGCACCAAAACGCTTAACTCGTTAACACAAAAACATTATTAAAATGATTAAGTATTATTATTATTTATTTATATTTATTTAAAATCTTATTAATTACATAATATTTTTTAAAAAAGATATTAAAAATACAATTTTTAAAAAACACTATATAAAAATAGATTGCCGCTGATGGCGGTGTCTACGACACAAGCCACCAGTGGTTAGGACTCCAGAGTGAGAAACCTCCTCACAATGCGTGCAGTATCGAGGATAACTGCTTTCTGTATTAGGCCCTTAACCCAGCTGGATAACGAAAGTTTCTTAAGATGTTGATCGAAACTTTTCGCTATCAAGCCGTGTACCGATACAACTATTGGAACAATGATGGTTGAATCAACATGCCACATGGCGGTAGTCTCGTGGGCCAGGTCTAAATATTTTATTAATTTGTCCTTTTCTGCCTTCACGAGGTTCTCGTCATGAGGAATGGTGACATCAACCAACACTGCTCGACGCGCAGATCGATCTATTATCACAATATCAGGTTTATTGGCAACAATATACCTATCCGTGATAATAGATCGGTCCCAGTAGAGCGTAACATGACCATTATCAAGAACTGGTTGAGGTTGGTATTGGTAATAAGGTACAGCAGAATCAAGAAAACCATATTTCAGAGCAAGTTGTTGATGGATAATCCTAGCCACTTGGTTATGTCTATGCAAGTACTCGCCGTTAGCAAACCGAGAACAGCCAGAAACAATATGTCTAATAGACTCTCCCGGACGGTGGCATGCCCGACAAATGTCGACCGTCCCATCCTTTAGTATATATTTCCGGTAGTTGTTCGTCATGATAACTTCGTCCATAATTGCAAAGATAAAACCTTCAGTTTCCCCAAAGAGGTTACTGAATCGTAACCAGGCCACGGAAGCTAATTGGTCTACATCAGGCCCTGTGAGAGCCCGGTAGAACCTACCGTGTAACTCCTTGCTCCTCCATACGGTTATGCGATCTGAAATACTCTCTACCTTCAGCCTCTTCCAATTCCCGTTAGCTAAGGATAGCGGAGTTAGCCCCTTATCGACTGCAACGACATCCCGATACATATTCACGTTCATCTTAAGGAAATATTCCCTAAGGTTGTATATCTCTCGGTTATGTAGATCCTTGGCATTCAAAATACCACGACCCCCACATTTCCGAGGAATATACAACCTCATTACAGACGAACGTGGATGATGCATTCTGTATGCCGTTAACAATCGCCTCACTTTTCTGTCCAGTACGTCCAGCTCTGATTGCGTCCACCTTAGTATGCCAATGTTATTATTATTATTATGCTAAAAATAACATTATTTTAGACAAAAGTATTCCCTAAAAGTATCCCCAACTATCGGCATACACGTCAGCATCCTGGATTTCGGACAGACATTCGTTTAACATCTCAATTGGCCTGGCCGTGGGACAGTTCCTAGCTCTACGGGTCCTCAGCCGCTCAATATGCCGCTCCTACAGAATTCTATATCCCAGTTCACAATATTTATCTAAGTAAAATATATTACACGTGGAATTTGTTTTTTTGACCTAATATCATTTAGGTGAATGAGTATTAATCTTTTAATTTTTATTAGACATGAAGATCCCTGAGGCTCCAGCCTAATGAGCCTTTTTATTATTGCTTAGGTGGGTGGGCGAGCTCACGGCTCATCTGGTATTAAGTGGTTACCGGAGCCCATAGGCACCTACGACGTAAATGCCGCCATTTACCTCGAGATATAAGTTCTAAGTCTTAGTCTTAACAGTACAACGACTGACTTACCCTTCAAACCGACACGCATTACTGCTTCACGGTAGAAATAGGTAGGGTGGTGGTATCTACCCGTGCGGACTCAAGATGTCCTACCACCAGTAAAAGCACCTGGCCATCTCAATCCGAGACAGATAATAACAGAGGGAAAAAAGACATTATGTATTTTAAAATTAGAAACCTCTGCGGGTATCTGCCACATACTTGTATACTAAAGATAAGTGGAAAATATCTCAAATAAATGTATCGTAATCTCTTCTCGAGATACAGTCTTCATCTGCGTATCAAGATGAAGTGGTTGCTGCTGCTCACAGGTCTGTTTTTTTCTTCAATACTTAAGTACCTACCTATTTACCTCTGTTCAAAGATGTAAGCGTTCATAAGATTTTCTAAAAAGCAAGCAATGAAAAATAACTACAGATAAAAGTTTTGTAATTAAATTAAATTAATTCACAAATTTTCGTATATTTAAGATACAATATAGAACTCATAAAACAGGTTGCTATCTATACTAATATGTAAGTATATAAATCTACAGTGGTTTTTACGGATGTTTCGTTATAACTACTGAACAATGCATCGACTTGAAACTTGGTATCCATGTAGAAAATACATGCACTTAATGGATAGGCTAATATTTATATGAGTGTTGGACTCCTTAATAATAATGACAATAAATAATAATGCTAATTTTAAATGCGCAGCGAAGCGGGCGACTACGGCTAGGAGATTAATAATTAAATGGTCAATGTTTGGCTGTGTGGTGGACAATAAGCACTCAATCCTGAACTCCCCTTTTCCCGTCGGTGTTATATAATATAAAGCAAATAAGAAAGTCACGAGATAATGGGCGTTCTCTCAGTATTACACTAATATACTGCAACCGTCAAACGACCTTTACTGGCGGTACCTACTGACAGGGCAAGGTTGTGAGCTCACAGGGGCAGGTGCCATCGTTCTACTGCTCAAAGGATTCGTGAGTTCCGATCTGAGGGGTGGGGTAGTCGTATTAGAATACAATTAAAAATTTCACCTCATGAATCAAGAATATCTAATTATTTAGAATTTAGAATAATTTAACCGCCAAATTTTATTCTTAGATTAATTGTGTTTCTGTAGGAGTCACGGTAGCGCTCTGCGCTATACCAAAAGCACCCCTACAACGCGACGTACTGGTGGAAGAACATGAAGACGGAGGACTTCTTTTATCTGCCATATGTAGGTATTCATTTGTAAAACCCCTTCATAGCTGAGATTTACAGTACGAGAGATATTTGTGTTTCGTATTTAAAAGCCAGGATGGTCGTTATATCAGTGCCATTGAGTCGTAGTCTTGTGTTTAGTTCATATTCTGAATGATGGTAAGATGTTTTGTGAGCACGCAGAAGAAGCTACCACCGTCTTAGTTTATATTGCTACGAACCATTCAGGTTCCAAGGGTGGAACAGCCGATTTACACTAAAATTGAGACTGCACTACTTCTCGTCTCAATATGGCTGCTTTCATTCACACTGTGAGGTCTTATTTTTCTATCGAGGCGAATTATTGAAGTGAAGTTTTATAGTGAAGTTTTTCACTGGAAACCGTCCTTTTGACGCAATAAATTCAGTCAATAGAAAAAATTCAATAGCTGACCAAAAATATTATGTATTATTTAAGTTTGGGGTAAGGATAAGAACCAATGACAAACAGATTCATTTACGCCAGATAACCAAATATCCAAATGTAACATTTGGTTCAAAGAGACTCAAAGAGAGTTTTATTTTAAAACCTGTATCCATTTTCAGCTGCAAGCACCACTTTACTGACCGGCCACATTGGTCGTCGTGTGGCTTCTGATGATGAGGAGGTCATCTTCGATATCAACACAGCCTACGATGAAGAGTCCGGTGGCTACCGCATTAGCATACACTGGGATGGACCTGCGGACCGAGTTTTTGAAGACTGCTTCAACTTTGGTAAGTCCACGTCTCTGTTTTGTCCAAAATTAGAGCTAGTCAATAAAAATATCGCGCATACAGTTCTCTTATTTGTTGTTAGTCGGCCCAAATCACAATAATTCAAGTTCTAAATACATTACTTGTCACGCGAATCTGTCTTTCAAAAAAACATACTGTTTAATACCCTAAATAGAAATATTCTGCGGGATTAGTCTGATTGATATTCTAACCCTATACAACGTCTTGGTCTTTGATGTTATCGATGTCCATGAGTGGCGGTAAACATTTGGCCTGAGGCCACAAAATGTAAACAATCTGATAATAATCTTTTCCTCAAGGATCCTTTCAATGGTACGGTGGCCCTGAACAAAAGCAACAGTACTGGCCGATTCAAAACAGCTACCTGCAAAAATACTCAATCATATCCAAAGAGGAAGACAATTCCGCTGTATCGGAACGCTACTGGCTAAACTCGGCCGGCCAATACTTCTACGTGCAACCCGAAGCGCCCCTCTTCATTGACTACCATAACGTCGAGGACAACCATATTTGTTTCATTGCCGAAGTGGCGGCTCCCTATTCCAGTAAACGCACACATAACAGCCTCAAATACGATATCTGGTTCTTTGAAAACGCAAAGGTCGCACACCAACACGCTGTGGACACTTACCTAGGAAAACCTACAGGCTTGCCTGATTACAGAATGATTCAATACCCAGTCTTCTCGACTTGGGCGAGATATTCCCGTGGAATAGACAGGGACAGTCTTTGGGCTTTTGCTAACGAGATCAAGGATACCGGATTTCCAAACGCTCAGTTTGAAATCGATGACCTTTGGGAGATCTGTTATGGATCATTGACTGTTGATGAGAGGAAGCTGCCTGACTTTAAAGGTCTTATCCAGGAAATTAAGAGCTTAGGCTTCAGGGTCACAATTTGGGTACATCCGTTCATCAACAAGAATTGCGAGCCGTGGTTTTCTGATGCTTTGGAGAAAGGGTATGTAGTAAAGTGAACTAAACTAACTAAATAAAAATCATGGAATGTTTATTCGTATTCTTAATTGTATTAAATTGACTAATAAATCCATCTTGTTAGCTACCTTGTCCTCAACGAAGAAGGCAACCCTGAATCTACCTGGTGGAACAACAACGGCTCTTTACCCGGGTACATTGACTTCACCAACCCTGATGCTGCAGAATGGTACACGTCAAGGATCCAAGATCTTATTGATACCTACGACATTGACAGCCTGAAGTTCGACGCTGGTGAATCTAGCTGGTCTCCACAGGTAAGATATCTTAGTAAGTTATTTATAAGACAAACAATAGAAATTCGATACAAAGCCTGTTTGACTGGGCCTCTGCTATGGTCAATATTCATGACTGGGTTACCATTTTGTACCAGGGGGACGTTTAGTTAGAATTTATGAACGGTGCACAATGTTTGCACAGGACACAATCCACAAGACTCTCTGCACCACCCTTGAATGACTGGTAGAGAATGCCTCAGGCACTAAATCCGTCATTGTACCTTTGTGCATGAAGCTGAATAAATAAATAAATCTTTATATCTCTTAGGTGCGATCCAGGTGTGATATCATCGAACCTAATCAATTTTACATTTCGTTAGCACATGGCGTATTTCTATTCTACTGATTTACTTATTTGGGAAACAGAGTACGTTATTCCAGCTTAAGCATCGGTACAACAAGGACTGGAAATGTTTTTTTTTATTGCATATGTGGGTGGATGAGCTCACGGCCCACCAGATGTTAAGTGGTTACCGGAGCCCATAGACATCTACAACGTAAATACCGCCCACCTACCTTGAGATATGAGTTCTGAGGTCTCAGTATAGTTACAACGGCTGTCCCACCCTTCAAACCGAAACGCATTACTGCTTCACGGCAGAAATAGGCAGGGCGGTGGTACCTACCCGTGCGGACTCACAAGAGGTCCTACTATAAGTCACTGTTAACATTACAGATGGATAGATCGTGGACATTAAATAAATTAACTAACTAACAATAGTTAGTTAATAGATATTGTCCCAAATCACCGAGGGATCTACAAGATGTCAGGTCTTGAATTTAATATGCTTGGAAAGAGGCATCGTGATCGCTGACGCTAATTCTGCGCGCGTCAGATAAATCTGTCTTACAACTTGGGACTTTATTGTTGTTAGTTAAAAGTCTTATTATCTCTTGACAGATTCCAGTACAGAACGGCGACATTGATCTCCATCCGGGTCACGTGGTTGAGTCTTACGTGAGAGCCGTTGCCAAGTTCGGCCCAATGATCGAGATCAGAGCGGGCATGAGGTAAGGAAAATACGGTTTCTCAATCACATTACTGTTTTTTCCATATGTCGTGGATAACGACTTTAGTAATATTAAGACATTTATTGATTATTATTTTAAATAATAAAATGTTGTTTTAATAGACATCAAAAAATGTAGGGTAGACGCCGTAAATCGTCTCAGTCTGTCAGTCAGTCTCAGTCTCAAGCAGTTTGTCAGTCAGTCAGTCTCAGTCTCAGGCAGTTTGTCAGTCAGTCTCAGTCTCAGGCAGTCTGTCAGTCAGTCTCAGTCTCAGGCAGTCTGTCAGTCAGTCAGTTGAAACGAAACTGTCGGTTCACCCTGTCATTGTGAAAATTATTTGTTGAGAGTTTAGGTTTTATTGACTTTTATTGCAATAAACTGAGTTCCACCGATTACGAATCATGACAGAACTGCCACTCAGCCATCCCTGGCGCCGTCACATATTTTTTTATTGTTTAAATGGTTGGTCGACCTCACGGTAGACCTGGTGTCATAGAATGCCGCCACACACCCAGAGACATGAGTTCTAATGAGTGAGATAAATGGTACAAAGGTTATATGGTATAGCCAGTTAAAAAGCCACCAATACGACAAGTTGGTACAAAACTTACATATGAATAACTTAATACACTTTTTCATCAAATAGGTATGCGAGCTTACGAGGTATACCGCTCACTTGGTGTTACGTGGCTACCGAAGTGCAAAGTACGCCGCCACCCACCGATCGAAGTTCCAATTTTGTTGTGGTTTACAACTATTGTCACATTTTAAGCTTCTAGCCACAGCGTTACTAATATCGGTCCAAATTAGACCACTTCTAATATTACACCTGCACGAATCCCTATAACGATGACCTCGTGTTTGCGGCTGAGATACCCAATTGAATGCCTATTCCAGAACCCAAGACCTCCCAGTCTTCGTCCGCATGGTTGACAAAGATACCCTTTGGGACTTCAACAACGGTCTCGCGACGTTGGTCACGACTCTATTGCAAATGAACCTCAATGGGTACACGTTGGTGCTGCCTGATATGATCGGAGGAAATGGTTATAATGAGTCTCCGAGTAAGGAGTTGCTGGTGAGGTGGCTACAGGCTAATGTCTTCATGCCGACGCTTCAATACTCGTTTGTGCCCTGGGATCATGATGAAGAGGTAATTTCTTTACATAATTATATTATGAGCACACAACCTCGGCCTACTAGAATTCTAAAATATCTAATAATAATTAATTATGAACACTTTTATTACGTCTTGCTCATTTTTCAACCGTCCTCACCATCTTCCAATTCTCTGTCATTCTCTTCTCTCTTTCTTTCCGTTTTCTCTCACTCACATCTTAACGCTCCGTTTCACACTATTTTCATAGGTTCCGTTCTTACCAATCCTACATTCGGCCATCCTGCTCTCATATCTGCCCTCAGATATGGCTCCTCCATATAACATAATAAAATAAAATAGTTCTGAATCTGACAGTCTTACTTTTTACACAAATAAAAATTACGTACTGAATAACAAAACAAGTTTTAAATACATAGCCTAGAATTCATGAGAATACGTGAGTAGTATTAGAGATACAACTATTATAAGTATATATTCAAGCACACACACAAACAATCATTCATCTTTATCTGGCCATTTCTTCATATTGTCTGCAGAGCTAATCAACTTGATGTTTCGAAAACTTTGGCTAATAAAGATAGGTCAAATACGAACGAAAGTTTTGTAACCAAAATATCCGCAGAGCAGAGATGTCCGTGCGTGGTCAGATCATGTCCTACCACGTACTTAAGCAAAGTATGAATTACAAGAAGAGATAGAGAAGATCGAAGTGATGAGAGCTACATTTTCACGTCACTTCAATCGTGATGGTTTTAGTTATTAATACATTCTTTTCCAGGCAGTCGAAATCTGCCGCAAATACACGCATCTTCACGCCGAATATGCTGATGAGATCGTGGCCGCTATGGAGGCGTCCATCCAAAAAGGAACTCCTGTGAACCCTCCCATCTGGTGGTTGGATCCTACCGACCAGGACGCTTTGGCTGTTTGGGACGGTACGATATTTCATAAGATGAGCATTATATTACAGATTTGCTGGTGATAATTGTTCTTGTAAGTTATGTATAAATACGAGCTTAAAGCTTCCAGTGTCAAGTTGCCACTTATAGACGTCACAAAGTGAACGCTCCTACGCACCTTGTGATATGAATCTGAAGCGAATTGTATAAAAGCGTTCCTTTTTTTTGGTTTTTTGTTATGGCCTTGATTTTCCATAACTAGAATCACATTCATAGAATATGGTCAAGTCTTAAATTTTCTTGTTTTTTTTTTGGCTTAGATGCGTGGACGAGTTCACAGCCCACCTGGCGTTAAGTGGTTACCGGAGCCCATAGACATCACAAAATAAATTCCGCCACTCACCTTGAGATATAAGTTCTAAGGTCTCAGTATAGTTTCACGGCCGAAATAGGCAGGGCGGTGGTTCCTACCCGTGCGGACTCACAAGACGTCCTACCACCAGTAAAAATGGATCTTAATGAAATTCTTTAAGGCTATGGATATGTGTAAGCTCCGGTGTTAAGATTGGAGTCGGTTTCCAGAGTTCTTATTAGGAGAGCGCGTGCTTGCCGCTCCTGTGCTGCAGCAGGGCGCTGTGTCCCGGGACGTGTATCTGCCGCGCGGCTCCTGGCGGGACGGCGTCACCGGGGAGCTTCACCAGGGCCCGCTGTGGCTCCGGGACTACCCGGCACCCTTGGACACGCTGCCTTACTTCACTCTCGAAGACTAGGGAATCTTTGAAAATAAACTCTTTATTTTCGCGTACAAAGTTTTTTATTCGTTTAAAAAAGAAATACAATAGCCAACTTAACCTAATATGTGTTTTTTTTTATTGCCCTTGAGGCAGACGAGCATACGGCCCACCTGATGGTGAGTGGTTACCGTCGCGCATGGACTTCAGCAATGCCAGGGGCAGAGTCAAGTCGCTGCCTACCGCTTAATACTCTCCACAGGCCTCGTTTGAAGAAGGATATGTCATAGCGCTCGGGAAACACCGTGGAGGGGAGCTCATTCCATAGCCGGACGGTACGTGGCAAAAAAGACCTCTGGAAGCGCACTGTGGATGACCGCAGTGGCTCCAGTTAGTATGGATGAACTCTACTCCGGTGGCGGGCGGTGCGATGGTAAAAACGAGATGACGGTATCATTTCGAACAATTCCTCAGACGTGTATATAATAAGGTGGCTCTAATAAAGAAGGAAAAAAAAAACGATGTGTGGTGTCGTGGGACACCGGATAGTAACGAAGTTCCTTATTATACAAATATTAATTATAAGTTCTATTCGAGATATAAAAAAGATAAAACTGGAGGTTCCGCAACAACCCACGGTCATTCGGTAACGTGCGAACTTATTGTGGTACACTTCATTTACGGTTGTTTGCATAAGAGTTAGTGTATTGCGCAAACGAACGCTCTGAGATCGTGGTCAATGAATGATAAAAAAATATGTTATTTTTTCTACGTTATTACAAAGTTAAGTCGTACACTGTGTGCATTACTAATAAAAATCTTACGTTACGGACGTTTTTTCACAGTTAGGGTACCCCTCCGCATCGTACCATAAGGAACTTCGTTCCAAAAAAAATAATAAACAATCTAATTATCAATCATTATAGTGTGTATGGATCTTGTTAGCGTAGATTTATTGGTAACCGAGCTAACTGGCATTAATGGCTAGTAAATAACTCGCCTAGCGTGTGCCTATTTATGTAACTATTAACACAAACAAAGAAGTGCTTGCTATGGATTGTTAAACGTTGCCCAAGTAAAAACTGTCTATAATTATGTTAAGCACAATATTATAGTGTTGTATCTATATATTAATACGTGAAGCAAAAACTTTGTATCCCTTTTTACGAAAATTGCGCGGACGGAGGAGTATGAAATTTTACACACTTATAGAGAATATAGAGAAGAAGTGCACAATGCTAATATTTTTTTAAAATAATGCATAAAAGATACATTAAATCAATAAAGAAAATATTACACACACTACATACCATGTATTTGACGCACACACGCATGCATACTATTTATTGTCAAACTTTTGTTCTTGACGTCTGTTGTCAAATTGAGAATAGATTAAATATTGTTTGTCTTTGTTAATATTTTTTATAGTGTAGTCTTGGCGAAATTTGTGATTATAGAAGTATAAAATACAATAATAATAGTGTACAAACTTACAATTCCAATTAATTAT